ATCGAGTTTTTGTGTTGATCAGTCTTATTTTGTAATTTAAATTTTATTTGAATTTTTTGAGTCAAGTTCGTGTTTATTTAAATTCAATTGTAAATATTTATAATATTACGATACTATTTGATTCTAATCTAAACGGCTTTCTATAACCATACATAATATGCATATATATTTTCTTCGTATGTGATATGCATATAGCATACCAGATTAAATGACTTGATTCATCCCTCATTTATTAAAACTTTCGATTTATTTGAGTTTTATTTAAAAAAAAATTAAATGAGACGACTTTATAAAATTATGAGTCAAACTAAATCAAATTAAATTTTTAACACTAAACTAAATTGAATTTTTTTACTTTTAAATAGAATTTTACATACCCTAATTAGATAAGAAAAAAAAAGGAAACAACTCCAAAAATTATTGTAAGGCTAGTCTATTTTTTAACCCCCATTGTTTTGGTAATGGCAGTTGAGTTACATAAAAACTCAAAAGAGATAATCTTGTGTGATTAGTATCGTTGGAATGCAATGTTCCACGTGGCAAGTCCTCAACCTCATACCGGAGAATCTAATTACTGAAAAGCATGACAGTCTGCTCCATGTAAAACTGTTGTAAACCAGCCGCATGGCACCGGCAAGTTCCCTCTGTTAACTCAAAACTTCCCTTTTTCTCACATTAGAAGGAAACTCATTAAAAAAAATAGTAAATTTTCTTTTCTGGGTTTTTAATAATTATAAAAAAAGTTGCAAAAAGGAATTAGCTATATTTTCTATGGATTTAGGGTGCAAGAGGTATGCGGGTCTCCAAATGTCAGGCTTTTTTCTTACTCGGGTATATTTTCTCCTCAATTTTTCGATAGTTTTTGCGGTCTGAATTCTGCATTTTTCTCTACTTTATATATTTTATATTTCCTTTTTGCTTAATTTTCTTTATTTCTTTGACATGTCATGCATATGCTTGATGCGTCAGGACTTGAAATTAAAATAAGAAATTACTGCCTAATTTTTGTTGTAAATTTGTTATCTCGATGCATTGAATCTTTTCATCTGTTAGCCATTTAAGGTTTGGATCATGTTATTATGAAGGTGTTTTCAATGAAATTAATAGGAATTTTTGCTTGATCTTTTGATGTTGATTTTCATCTTATATTAAGTTAGAGGAGTGAGTTCTAAGAGAGCTAATTTGTGTGAAAATTGCCAAGCTTAACTTCAACCAAACCTTCGCCTGAATTGCGCCGATAGCGATATCGGTTCCATGAATTTGGTTTCTCAGTAGCAAAAACATCCTGTCAATCAATGCTTGCTGCTCTGTGTTGAACATGCCATCTTTGCTTGAACGAATGATCCCTTAATTTAATCTGAACGATTTCGGGTAAGAGATTAGTCTCTATAATGTTTGTTGTTATTCTTTGCTGAATAGTGTGTGAGGTGAGGATCTTTTTACTAGATATTGCCCTTGTGAATGTGATTTTTGAATTTGTACGTCTAGAACTCCAATTCAGTAAGAGTAACGATCCTAGTAGCATATATTCATTATAAAATTATCGAGTAAAACAAACAAATCACAAACTTCATGACTTATTTAGAATTAGGGCAATTCATAACGGAGGTCCTCCACGAAAGCTGCTCTCAACTTGGCGTTGGGGCAGCCTACTAGCCTACCTCCCCCTTACCCCATTACATATGAGAATAGGGTCAGCTAATTTTTTATTTATGTAAACTCAAAAATGATATATTTAAGTTCCAATAAGAAATGTTTTGCATCCCGATAAATTGTATTTCGTTTCTACTTAACGAATTGAAGAAGAATACCGAATTGAATTATGTTTCATAGAGATAGCTATTTAGGTTCCCATTCTCGTTCCTTATTCCTGACCGACTTGCATTGCTGATAACATTGGTTAGGATTAAGGAACCACACTGCTACAGAGCTCGGATATGCATTGATTGAGTGCTGAAAATACCAGGAAATTCATAGAATAATATGATTAATGTTGATTAAAATGATAATTTCTCATGAAGGGATTTGATTGTTGTCTCAATGAGAAAAGAGTAAACATTTATCCTGCACCATTGTGCTGAATGTAGGACAAGATTATGATTTTCTGTATTTTCATATAGCTTGATTTGCTATACCTTTTGACGGCCATTCAATTACTAGAATGAAATTATAATGCTCACTGTTGAATTTCCAAGATAGAGCTGCATTTGGTATGGATTTTCTTATTGGTGTTTAACTTTCTTTTGTCATGAATTTATCACAAAAAACTTGAATAATTTTGTTCCATAAGTTGATATTCGTTGAGTCGATTAGAGAAACGAGTGATTGTCAGCATGATATAAATGGGTCTTTTTGCATGATATCTTCTCTTGGGATGGTGTCGTTGATTGTAGATAACATTCCTCATCCATCTGGTTCTGTAGTCTTGAATAGTTATTGATTTTAAGCCTCACAAACTCAAACATTGTGGTCAATTCCTTTTTGGGTAAGAGTTAACAGTTTTAGTAATTATACACCAAAATAATTTGGACAAATGATTCATAATGTCAATACATAGTGTCATGTATGTTACCCTAACTCTTCAATTTTCCAATACTATTGGTGTTCAATGCTTATTCTTACATGGGTAAAGGAGAATCAGTATACTCATTTCTGACACATGCCCTTATCCGTCACTCACCCTAAGTCCGGGTAACATGATAACATGTAAGCAATGTACATTTACTTGTTCAAGTTCAAAAGTTAATTTGCAGCTTCCTGCTTTTCCTATTCTCTCCACGAGAATGGTGAAAGAATTTCATACGAAAAATGACTTCTCTTCTACATTCTTATTTTATATATGGTTCCCGAGGTACCTGAATGCAAAGTAAAGAGTGTATCATGTTGCTATCTTTGAGATTCAATTAAAGTTTTAAGTAGTATCGAAGCTACTTTCGGGAAATGCATTTGAGAGAATGGTTAATGTTTTGTTCTTTTGCAACACAAATTCTATATGCTATCTCGGCAAGAAGACCTGACATTAACTCTCCCGAGATTTCAGGATTCCAAACTGAAGGGATCATCGAACAAAGAATGATCTTCGAGAGTGAGAACATAGAACCAGTGACTGATTCAGGACTTGCTCTGGGGAATTCCAATCACGACATTCAGAGAAGATTGAGCAATGATCTCGGTGCAGGTGCAAATGCAGCTTCAAGAATAGACGAGACATTTGTGGCCACCAACCTGCCGTCATAATTAGTTTGGTCTCCAAGGGAAGGTCTCAGTCTCAAATGTACTGAGTCCAGCTTTGCTGATAAAAACATTCCCTCGTTTGGGGTGGAGGACCAAGCAATATGTTTTTCTCACTACAACAAACTGATGCATCTACAAGGTCAAGTGATGACATGCCTATAGATGAAGAAATTTCCCATAAATCCGTATCGGCGTTTCATGATATGAATCCCAAAGTTGCCAATATAGATAATTTGGACAAATCTTCTGGGAATGATGATACCAGCAAATTGTGTCATGAACAGCAGACAGATAATGATAATTCTTCCAAAGGTACGTCAAGTTTGTATAATTCATTTTTTTATTTTATTTTTTCATGTTGTTGTAACATTCTGTTCCGTTTGTTCTATAACTGTCGAGAAACTCTCTTTCTGCAGGAATTACCGACTTTGTGGAAGATCTAAACCCAAAGATAGGAGAATCCGATGAAAATCTTATTGAAGAGAATGATCTGGTAGATTCTAAAGGAGCATATTTCTCTTGTCGAGACAATACCCCAGTGGCCGAAATAGCTGACGCGATCAAAAACAATTTTCCAGGTCCACTAGGTGCCTCATGATACTTTTTCACTTGTTTAGTACCTTGAGAAAGTACCATGGCTTTTTTCCGTGATAAACTTTTTCGGCATTTTGAATGGACACACGCACATACACAAAATTCTGGAACATGATTATAAGAATTATTGACATGTTATCTCTTCTCTTTGTTGCTAAGCTAATTATTTGTTTAGACTTAATTTATTTGGATAGAGTTGATCTTTTTTCTCCTTTCCCCTCTCCAAAATTGACTTGTAACTAATATATTTTGTTCTCTTCTAATAAAAACAGATGAAAGGAAACCAGATGTTGTGCAGCTGTCAAGAATGGAGATTGTCTTGGCATCTGAAGTTTATGCCGACATCAAACATGAAGTATTTATACCACCAGCAAACAATCCAACATCCTCTGGTAGAAAACAAGATGAATCAGCTTCGTTAATGGATAAAAAGGGAAAAAGTAAGATGAAGGAGTACGTTTCTTCTACTCTTTGGCCTATGGAAAAACTGGAGGCAACTGCTGAAAACGATTTGCGAGTTCTGGTAGGTGACGATGCGTGTGTTGCAAGTAAGGCTTCGGGTTCAGAATCTGTGTCTGAAGCTGAAAATAATGTTGAGAACTATAAGGATATAAAACTGGAGGAGACATCTGGTGATAAACATTCTCCGACTTACAGCAGAATCCTTAGGTATAGAAGAAAAGGGAAGGAAAAAGCTTTATCTGATGGAGATGTTAAACGAATGATGTCACAAGAAGAGGATGACAGTCACGAAAGTGTTGAAAGTTGTAATAGCGCTGGATTATTCTCCACGGACAAAAAACGATGGGGCTTCAACCAACAGTTGATTGTGGGGAGCAAAAGAGTGAAAAGGCAAATGGGTGAAAGTCCTTGTTCCTCATCACTTGTAAAGCAAGACAGCTCGTTCATGAACTGGATATCGAATATGATGAAAGGATTTTTGAAATCGAAAGATAAGGCGCCATCTTTGACGCTTACTATCGCAAATCCTAACCAGTCACTTGAGAGTCCTGTCAAGAATCCTGATGCAACTGATAGGAACCAAGTTCCTCCGTGCAGAAATATTGGGTTTCAATCTATTTTCCACTCAATATATCACCAAAAACTAAGGTCCAAGGAACACCACAAAATGAACACTACCGAACCGGAGTCGAGAAAACTGACAAGATTTGTGACATTGATGCTACTCCAATCGCCTGCCATGCAGAAAATTTTAACTTGCATAAAGTATTTCTGCTATCAAATGAAAGATTTAAAGAACCAATTTTTGGTGGCAGAGCAGGTTCACCAGCCCAGCCGAAAATTTCATCGATGAATTTGTCTCTCGGTAAGAGCACTGAGGGAAATTCTTCAGAGAATCAGAATCCATGCAACTTGGCAGTGGATGTGCAGAAAGACAGAGCAAGCTCTAGTTCTTTATTGGGTAAACGTAGAGCGATGAGCTCTGAGGACATCGATTCCGACACGCCATCTGAAGGAAAGACGGTTCATAGCATTGGTTACAAAACCAACCTTCTAGGGAACTTGTGGATAACTCGGTTTACTCCAAAGTCTTCTAGCTTCTTGCCGAACCATGATAACAGTGGTGCTGTTGAGTGCTCAAGTGACTGCATGAAGATTACTCCCTGCTCCAATGAGAATGTTTCTAGCAACCTCAAGATTGTGGAGGCTAAGCGGCAATGCGTCGAAGAGCCACTAATTGGTTCTGGTAAAGAATTACCTTCTGATACTGAAATTGAGGCATCTGTTGGGTTCAAGGAAATTATTGTCCTAAATGACCAGAAATCCAAATGTAATGTGAGCCCTATTTTACCCTCTTCTAGAATAAAAGATTCAGAAGTGATGGCTTCTCTTTTTGCTAGGAGATTAGATGCCCTCAAACACATAATGCCTTCTGGTTTATCGGACAATACAACTTCAAATATCACATGTTTCTTTTGTGGAAGAAAAGGCCATCATTTGAAATGTTGTCCGGAGATAACCGATAATGAGATAGAAGATCTTATGAGGAATATGAAGTCTTCTAATAAATTGGAAGTACCTCGTCTGTGCATTAGATGCTTTGGGCTTGATCATTGGGCTGTTGCATGTCCTACCACATCGAGAAGTCGACACCAATCAGCCTGTAGAGCTTCTTTGGCTAATCTCAGTGAACTGCATGGATATGCAGGATTTGAAGAGAATAAGAACCTTTTAGAATACAGCCAAGAAGCTATAGCTCCAAGCACAGTTCAGGTTGGGATCGATTATGGGAAAGGCCCCAATACTAGTTATGGGGTTAATGCGGACAAAATGAGATCAACCACAAATGTGGATAAGAAATATGTATCTTCCAGTTTGAAGGAAAATGAGTTGAAAGAAAATCAGATGACACCTTGGGGTAATACGATCAATCATCAGGTTTCAGATAGGCCAAAGGCAATCTTTGATGCTGTTAGACTGCTTCGTTTGTCACGGACAGATATCCTGAAGTAAGTAGACCATCATTTTCATTGGTAATTTCACTTTTTTGTGCTGTCTGAAATTTTGCTTATTGAGCCATAAATGGTTGCCTATGAAGTACCTAAAAGAGTGGGAATTGAATATGAATTGTTGGAACGGGGTTGTATGCTGATATTGCCTTTCTTATTACCGAAAACTCAATCCTTTGTTTTGATTTTTTGATGCATCGTGAACTTCAGGTGTATGAATTCGCAAATATCAATCGCACATCTTGAAGGATTCTTTTTGCGTTTGCGGCTTGGGAAATGGGAGGAAGGATTACGAGGAACTGGTTATTTTGTTGCCTGCATAGCTGGTATGACACTGAGCAGATTGTCGTATTTCATGCTTATTTGGTTGCCGGTTCTGTTAATACTAAGATTACGTGCATGTTGTTAATTAAGTTGCTGTCTCATTTGAACGCACTTATTGATGCATATAATTCATGTAAAGACATTTTCCCTGTATTCTCTTTTATTTTTTATGTATCAATTACCTTCTAAATACTCAGGGTCACACACACTAGGGACACAGCAAAACTCCAAGAATTCCATTTCTGTTGACGTAGGGGGAATCAAATGCTTTGTTGAAAGCCAACACATCTCCAACCACGATTTTCTTGAGGTAGAAATCCGACTTCATTTTTCTATCTTTTCTTTAACCTCGTATTCTACTGCACGTTTTGCAATTCTTTGTATGTAACCTATGAGAGCCTTTTCTTTCCCTGTACCATGAATTATGGTCGTCGGCAACAAGGAAATTTACTAGCTTTATGTATTTCTGAACATTTTCGTTGCCACATAGTAGTAGTTCTTGGCATCCATTAAAATTCCATATTTTTAAAAAGCAAAGATCCAGTGTGTCGTGTCAAAGATCAAAAGTCCGAAATCGGTAGGGAGATTACATTAACTCTTATTCGTTTTTTTTTCCCGTATTTTTCTTGATGAAACAGTCAATCCAAAACTACATATGCATCTTGCAGGATGAGCTTATGGCATGGTGGCATTCAACTGCAAGAAGTGGTGGCAAGATCCCATCTGAAGAACAATTGGCAATGAAAGTTAAAGAAAGAAGAATGTTAGGGCTATAGGCACCATACTTATCAGGTGGTGTAATTCATGTTCTTCGTATAAGTTCATCACGTTGTTTCCGTAGCTCGTATCGGCTACATGGAAGTAGTTCTTAGCATCCATTAAAATTCCATTTTTGATCAAGCAATAATCAAGTGTGCGGTGTCAAAGGTCAAAACTCCCAACTTGGTAGGGAGATTACAAAACTCTTGGTTGGTTTTTTGTATTCCTCTCGATGAAGCACAATCGCACAACCAGGGATGGATCTAGGTGGGGGCGGTCGCCCTCTAAAAAAATTAAAATTATCATATAATTTAGATTTTATTTATATATTTTCTATTGAATTTTTTTTCGTCCCTTTATAATTTTGTAAGTTCAAGTTCATCTCTCTTAACATAAAATTATTCGTTCATCCTTGTGAACAACCAACTTCTTAATATAAAATTTTGTGTCCGTCCCTACGAAGAACCAACCTTTGAAGCAGAAAAATCACAGTTATGAAGTTAAAATGCTCAACTTGCTCATCAAGTTATCATCTATCTTATGACTTTTCTTAGTTATCAAGCTTGACTAATAATCCATCATCATCATCCTTGGTCATGTTCAATCCCATAAATATTGCCCTCAAATTTGAGATCTATTTCTAACTCAAAACGATTATGAAGAAATCATAATCTTTTAACAACCCAATTTATTTTTGTTGTCTCTAATTTAACTTTTTTTTATCGATTAAATATAAGAAACTCTTATTATCATGTAAATATAGCAAGTCTCCACGTAAAAGTAGTTTCTTCAAATATTTAAGACGGAGATTACTACAATTAACTCTAAATCACGGGTAGGAATTATACTCGTGTGGCTTAAGCCACCCCGGTGTATAGACGACCACTTTCCCTTCCTTCCTAGACCTGTCATCTAGGTTGTCAAAACTTTTACAGATAGCTTTAAACAGTATATATATTGAAAATAACAAGTTCACACATCATAGCATTCCAAATATTTAAAAGTAAAGTGAAATGAAAAACATTGCATTTGTTTTATTATCTTTTCTTTTGAATAGCTTTCTGATTCCGTCTCAAACAAAAGTTAAATATAAAAGAAGAAAAAAAAAAGAGATTATAAATTTATTCTTTATGTAAAAATCTTCACCGATTCACTCACAGTAGTTCACATGCAAAGAATCTCCAATAAGCTTTCACTGATGAACATTCATTGGATGTGGTATTATGACAGTCTCAGGATCCAACCAAATTCTTGAACCGAGCATACGCCATTATTAGTACAAACACAATTGCAGAAAATACCCCCGAGGCAATGACCACCTTTCATCACAAACACGAGATAAAATAATACGAACAAACGATCATTCACTGGATGCGGAGTCGGATATAACAATAGTTTAACACATGAAACACTTTGCTTACCCATTTAAACATGTATCCATGGTTATCGTTCCATGTATATGGAATGTTCATCCCAAAGATTGCAGCCACCAAAGAATATATGGATAAACACACGGTTCCTGAACTTAGAAACAGTTCTAACTGCAAAATTTTAGGATCCCTTCAATGTCACAATGTCAAAGCTACTTAGAAAGACCTCTAACTGCTAAACTAACATCACTCGAATACATTATAGAAAGAAGATCAACGGACCTGGATTAGCTGGTTTCGATGGTTGTCAAGCTGCGAAATGAAATAAGCTTGACTCAGCCGGGAAAATCATAGTACACAGAACAACAGGTTTAACAGTAAATATGGGTTTACCTGAATGTTGATGTAATCTTCTGTATCATCAATGTATTCCCGCAACTGCATAATTTCAAGTTAAGCAGCAAAAAAATATAGAAATATAGATTTCGGAAAAATAGAAAAAGGTCCAAACCCATCAATCCATGGATTTCTCAATAATGGCAAACAAGTTAAATATAAGAAGAAAAAAGGGGTGCAAGGTGAAGAGTACCGTTGTTAATTTGTTCAATGTTCCATCAATCTGCATAAAGTAGGCCTGCAAAACAAATTGTTACTAACTTAAGCCTTTTCGGTAGATAAATCTTTTAACACGAGAAGTAAATCACAATTTCAACCTCTAGTAACATTTCAAGCTCCTCCACATCATTTTCGTCTCCACGAACTGTTGCCATACTTGCTCTACTCGCTCTGGAAATCTTTGATCCTATGGTAGGAGATGCAAGATACCAATTGGCAGCACCCGATCCACTAACAGGTGAAGATCCAGCCAACTTTCTAGACAAATAAAGCTCGGCCATATCATCATCATCATCCAGTAGTTGTTCAAGTTCATCCCTCACCTACAAAATCGATAATTGCATCATCATACCTTGCCACCTAATGTAACTATTAAAACAATTTGTTTAAATATTCAGGTTCCAATATAATCTGGGAAAACTCCATCTGAAATATGCAAGAAACTTAATGGACTATTTAGATGATAGACGTAAAGACTTTCAGGAAGATGACATCAATAAAAGAGTGAACCCTAGAAATGGAAAATGGTGTTTATCTCAAATGTTTCATGTTCTATATGTAAGAGTTTCTATGCCCTGATACTAATCTTCCTAAAATATCAAACATTGTCACAAATCCATACGATAAACAATACAAATCAGTCTGGTTTTAGGCAAGGAGCTAATGATGTTAACCATAGCTGAACTCAAAATGAAATACTAAATATAACGGTAGCTGTACTGTAGAGATAGAAGTGCATATGATAAAAAAAAGTTTCACATACACATATCAGCATGAATGAAGTTGTACCTTTTGTACCCGAGCAGTCAATCTGGTCATTCCGCTCTTCAATTTACGAACTCTATCCAAATTACGACTACTAATCTGCATACAGCGTATATCAAAAATTAGAATACAGCATGAACAGGGCCCAGAGGAAAGACGGGAAGAAAACAAAGCTATTCAAAATTTGTAAAATATAAAGGTAAATGCGAAACAACAATTACCTGGGAGGTCAGTTCGTCTAAAGCAGGATAAGCTGCAGTCTCTAGTTCTAGTGTTCGTGCTGCTAGAAAACTGCAAATAGACTCCAAAGCAACCTCCAATGCTCGGAATTCAAATGGAGATTCTGCATGGCATGTACTAAATTGTTTAGACGTCAAAAACTCAAAACACGATGATGTTATATTAAGGATGAATCCGGTGAAATGCCAAATGAGTTTTCTGCTTTTCATCAACCTAGCTGCTCAACAGACACGATTAATAACACATACCATCTTTGTCACTGTCAACATCATTTTGTCCACTGGTATAGTCCTGACCTAGGCGAATGGCATTCACAGGAGGCAAATGCCTCTGAAGTTCTTGAACAACAGGGACAACGTTTTCATCTGATGGATCTCGAAGCAAAACCTATTTCAAATACAACACAAATTTCTCTGAAAAAGCAGACAACACAAATGCCAATTAAAACACACTTAAACATTTCACACATAACCATTGAGCTTATGAACTACACAAGACAGCCTCAATCAATGAACACCTAAAGCAGCACAAATTGACTAGACAAGTTGATTATCTCATTCAAAACACATAGTACTCCGTACTTAAGAACTCATTTATAGTTTCAAAAATCATAATTGAAGTTCCTTTGGGTTCATTTATTCACTTCATAAGCATTATTAGGAAAATTCATCCTACTTCAACTTCAATATCATGAACTAACCCAGAAAATCCTTTCATTTTTTAACTCAAAAAAAAAAAGGCTGAACCACTTCTGCTTATTTCTAATCCACTTCAGCTCCAATCCTTTCACTAAAAACCCCCATTCCGCACATTAAAGGAACAAAATCCAAGAGCAGGCAGCAACTCTATAGAACCGATCTAAGAAATAAAACAGACAAATTCAAGACCTAAAATCATCAACACAAACAAACAAACAAGTTCTATTAAAAGCAATAACTCAAAAACCAATCAATCAAGCCACACATACTCAAAGGCACCTCAGCATCATCTCCCAAATATCATCAAGAACTCCATAATTAACATTATATATATATAACCCAACTGAATTGACAAATGGGAAAACCCCACTAATCTTGTCAGAAGTAATAATTGCCTTGATGTGCTGCAAATCAAAGAACACAAAAACAAAAAAATAAGTTAAAAAAAAAAGAGTTCAGAGAATTGTTGAGAAAACAAAAAAGGGTTAACAAACGGAACCTCCAAATTTAAGACTATAGCACCATCACGACCGAGAATGGTGGAAGGGTAAGACAAGAGAGGGTCGAGGATGCGTAAATCTCGGCATGGATGTTAACTCGGTGCATGATGGCATACTTGTCGACATCGAGCAGGGTGGTCTCTCCCGTGCTATTGAGGAGGAGCCAACTTCGCGACGGCTGCACCTTCTTCTTCACCGCCACCGCCGCCTGTGGGTCCGCCGGCACTACGTGCACCATTTCTTACCATCACACTGAACTGCCACCCCGACCCAACCAACCCCGCTTTCCAAAAATCTAGCAACAAATTATGCACATATAGCTTTTTCCCCCTATTCAAACCACTTCAAAATCTCCCCATTTTCACATGAATTTAAACGGGTTTATTTTCTTCCTTTTTTTTTTTATTTGAAACATGAGGTTCTTTTCCCCCCCTCCCTTCTATTCGTTTTATTTGAGGGGTGGATGGCTTTGGAGCTTGGATCCCCATTTTCACATGAATTTAAATGGAATTTATTATTTTCAAATTATTTAACTGCGTAAAATGATATGCATGACATCGGTTTCATTTCTCGTCAAATTACTTTACTCATCCCTCTGCTTAATTAAAATGTTAATTTGTTACCATGCATATTATTAGGTCTTTTTTTAAAAAAATAAAAACATTTAAGGCCCGTTTGTCCAATATCCTTTGTTTTTATCAAATTATTCTTTAATTTTTTTTGGGATGTTTCGATCCTAATTTTAAAAATTAATTAATCGAAAAATATCGAAAGAGAATGAGTTGTCTCCTTAAAATTCAGTAGAAACAATTAATATATATATATATATATATATATATATATATATATATATATATATATTTATACACTTATTTAGAGTGATTCGACTCCTAAAAGTTTACACTCATTATCTTACTCACACTAAGGGTGTGTTTGTTTGAGGGAAAACCAATTACGGAATTGGTTTTTCCCGAAATTCCGTGTTTGTTTTACGTAATTCGTTTTTAGGAAAATGTTTTCCAGTGATTGGTTGGAGGAAAATTGGTTGGTCAACGTAAAACATTTTACTGATCAACAGAATTTCCTTTGTGTTCTCTGAAAAATGACTTACAGTCTGATTTTCTGTAAGTCATTTTCCTAACTTTTCAGTTCAAAAAATAAATACTCAAAATAATTTTATTTTATGAATTTAATATTAATAAAATATTTTAATATCATTTTAATCAAAATATTAATTATTAAAATATTTAAAATATATT